GGGTTGAAAAAGGATAATCTTATATCCTTTTTTTAGCATCACTTTGTTACCATTCTTGGAAATTGCCTCAAGTGTGAAGAGCGAAGAATGATAAGTACCAAAGCAAGTGGGAGCAATCTTAATCATGTCAAAAGAGAATAACTTGTCCATCTTTAATAATAGCCTTCTTGAGTGAGCCTCCAAGCATGTTGCATACCATCTCCTTTTATCACTGAAATCCACACAAGGCCAAGATCATCGTCTACGCTACCCATAAGGATATTAACAGAAGCTGATGATGACTCGATAATTGGGTTTGGAATGACTCGAAACATCTCCATGTGAAGATCAAAAGCAATCAAGCCGCTCTTCTCTTTGGTGAACCAATAAAGCCATCCATTTGCAAAAGTTGGTAAGCGGTCTAGCTCCTTGAGACGAGTAGGTGGAATCACCTGCCTCCATTTCTTGACTCCGAAATCGAAAACCTCGGATGATGATGAAGTGTAATGGAACCAGAAAAGTTTGTATGTTCCAGTGACGTAATCTTTTCCAAATCCTAGGAGAGGGAGATCTGGCTTATTGTAATTGTTGTTTAGTTGAAAGTCGGAAAGAGAAAGCGTGTAAGAACATCTTGTGGCTGGATTTATCACAAGAATTGGTCTTGTCAAGTCGTAGAAACAGAAAAGACCATCAAGACTATTCGAAACTATACTCGTTTTGAATTTATCATCATGACTACTAATATGATACTCTTCTTCTTCCACTAGACAAGTCGAAGACCACCCCAACCTCATTGTCTTTAATTAGACCAGTTTTTTCCTTATCTCTATAGATACAAAGAAATTTGGGTTCTTGTGTTTTCTGATGCAATATGTATCTCTTCTTGAAAGAGTTTGACTTCACCGTAACTCTCCATTGTTTAGACACGATTTGGAATCGAATAAGAGATTTCACTGGAAGCCTCAACATAATTTCTTCAAAGACATTGTCGTTGTGTATCAAAACCATCACCCTTTTTCTTCTTTTGCTTACAAACACTGTCTCTTAACTTCTTCTCCTTCCTCTCTTTGGCAAAGATGATGGATTCTCTCTGATATATAAACGGTGCCTTGAATTCTCCTACTTCTACCTTAAATTTATAAACACACCTCTCTTAAGAACATTTACATTAGTGAGATTCTATGGATATCTTACCAATATAACATTAATGAATTTAATTTATTTTAAGTAGAGAATCTCCTTACCAATTACTATATCCTTTTGTCTGAGATATTCGTTAGACATCTCATTAATATAATATTAGTATTTTTCGTATTTTTTATTTTTTCAACTAATTTTTTAAAAAAATTTTTATTAATATTTTTAAACATATCAAATTACATTTTAAATATGTACAATTTAATTAAATTAGTAACTCTTATAACTTATTATAAAAATAACAACAATAAAATCATAATCATAAATATGAATAATTTTAATAGCAATAATTAGACATGATTTTATGAAAATACCAAACTGTTGATAAAAAATATATCAAAATATAATTTTTTACTAATAAACTTATGTTTTTAATATTATATTATAGTTGAGTATAAATCTGAAGATGGAAAAAAAAAATCCTAAATAATATTCAAACCAAAACCCTAAAGAATAGTCAGAGCCACGTGCTTGACAGAGAGATCAATGACGCTACCAAAGGATTTGGTAGAGGATATACTATGTTACGTTCCGGTTACATATCTACATCGATTACGACTGACTTGCAAAGAATGCACTCTGATAAAGCCGCAAAGCAGTTTCTCGTGCTCATGTTGAAAGAATCCCATGAGACTCAATCTCCATGGAACTATTCCATCTGTAGAGGTAATAAGTGAGCTTAGCATAGTGAATTCGCATTATTCAGCTCGATTCAATATATCTCGAGTCTTTCACTGTGACGGCTTGTTGTTATGCACCTCCCGAAACGATACTAGAGTCGTGGTATGGAACCCGCTTACTGATTAAAACCCGCAAGAATAGCTGTCCTATCTTTGTAATGGGATACTACCAAGCCAAGAAATCTTGCAATAAGAGCTACAAAATCCTGAGCTATGATGGTATACCGAATTGTTCGAATATCTACGACTTTAACTCTAACTCATGGACGAATCTTGGTAATACAGGCTACTACTTGGAAAATCACTCAGTGTCTTTGAATGGAGATGCCTACTTTCTTGCTGCAGATGATGCAACAATTAATCTCTTGCTCAGATTTGATTTTTCAACAGAGAAATCTACACCCTTGCCTCTTCCCTATGACTATGGGTGGATTGATCATCAGTATTTAGTTCCAACAAGTCTTTCTGTTGTTAGACAAGAGAAACTTTCCGAGTTATTACAGCGTCATCATACATCAAAGACTGAGATATGGGTGACAAATAAGATCGGTGAGACCAAAGTGGTGTCGTGGAGTAAGGTCTTAACACTGGATTTGAGCCGTGGTCTTAAAAGTTCGTTTGCTGCAAGTTTCTTGCTAGACGAGGAAAAGAGAATGGTCATTTCTTGTGACACAAGAATGGATAAAGACATGGTATCCATTGTTGGGGAAGATAATAAAGTTTCTGTTTCGTTCTTCCAATATTTTGTCTCAAAGATCCTGTTATAATACCTTCCAATATTCTTATTGTGGTTGCTCAAGTGTCTAATCGAACTTTCAAGCAACAGATTAAAGAAACAGAGAACTTTATGGTTTGGATTTGGAAATCAAAATCAAACATAGAATTCCACCAAGCACAAATTCTTTTACCAGTAGGAGAAAAAAAGAGAACGAAGTTGACTGTTTCTTCAAAACACAACTCAAAGGTTCTTTTTTTTTCCAATTTCTCAGGATGTGTTATTCATATTACAAACATCATCAAACTTATCAGAGATT